GGCAGCAGAGCGGGGCCGCGCTCGGGCCGCCCCTCGGCGGGCCCAGGCGGGGCAGCGCCCACCGCTCCTCTCCTCTCCTCTCCTCCCCGCCCGGCCCGGCCCCGTGCCACCGCGGCCCCTTCGGCGGAGGACGGGGCGGGCGCGGGGCGGGGCGCGGGGCAGCGCGGGGGGCAGAGGCGGAGCGCCGCGCCCCGGCACTCGGAGGCTCCGGGCCCTGGGCTCATCCCCGCGCAGCCCTCCGTGCACGACGGGCCCGGGCCGAGGCCGGACACAGCACGCCTGCCCCACGCACGGCTCTCGGTCCGCAGTCTCTCCTTCTGCTTGCCTACCGAGCCCCGCCCTGACATCCCTACTTGGCCTCCCTCTCATTCCATGACGTGGCAACATGCACAATTCATCCTATAAGCCTTTTATCCTATTCTCCTCGTTACAGCTCTATCTAGATCCTCTGTGCTCTCCCTGAAATTCTCCAGGTTCCCCTGTCTTATCCCCATTAAGGCTACCGTACATAGTGCTAGTGACTCTGCTGCTTTGCCCATGGCTGCACCCTGGCGGAAGGCTATTGCCAGGATAAATGTGGTGGCTGAGTCTGAGGTCCCATCCATACAAAAATGGAGGGCTTCTGCCAAGGAAAAAAAAAGTGCAAATTCTGACAGAGACCCCACTACAACATGCTAGTGCACAGGTCTGTGGCTGCAGGGTGTGCCAAGGCCTGGCCTTTGCAATGCAAGGTGATGGAGACAGAACTTGTGAGATGCAACATGCTAAATAATATACTCAGCCCTGTGGTTGACCTGAAGGAGGAAGTGGGGAGGCTGAGCAGCATTACAGAGCGTGAGAGAGAGACTGATTGATGGTGCCAATCCCTATCAGCCCTGAGATTTAGGCAGCCAGCTGAGGCTCCACGTGAAGCACATCTGCCCCTACTTTGTGACAAACAGTTAATAGAGGGGAACAGGCAGGCAGACAGTGTTCCTGCTACGCTCATCTCCTGTCCTGTTTACTCGGTAACAACGGTGAGGAACTGGGGGGTGTGGGGCAATGGCAAAAGGTCCCTGCTAGGAGATGGTGAAA